ATCAGCAGCTAATGCAGTCTTATGACTTCTATTTGTGTCCAGCAGAGCACTGGTTAAAGCTTGTTGGAAGAGTTTTCATTCTCCTCTGACTGTCCTATAAGGCTGCAGGACCCCTGACCCTGTACAGTGCTGTGCTGATTGGCCCTGTGTTGATCACACGCACTCTCCCAAGAAAAAGAAAAACTCTAGCAATACACACCAAACGGAGCATGTACAGAGTGACTCCACACAATATGTTTTATAAGGAGATAAGAGGGGGACACTGGAGGAAGAGGAGGATCAGAGAAGACAGAATCAAACCGTGTTTTTACACAATGCAAAGGATTAACCCCTTAGGTTCCCCAGTAAGTATAACAAGCATGCTTTACGGCATATATAGACTGATTTACTTTTGTGGGTTTAATAACAATTTAAAGACTTTCTGTATTGCTCAATGGACTCCAAGAAAAGCTTATTACAAAAGGTCTGTTTTTAGGAGTTGTTGATATAATTTGGTTGCAGGTTTAAAAAAATGACAACAGGATAATCTTGTACTACTAAATGATTGTATGTCTCTTTTAGAGCAAAGTTCTTGTCTTTCCAATATACAAATATAGTACTATGTTGCATCAACGGTTTGGTTTAATGAGCTCTTTTTAGTGTTTAAATGGTCATTTCATGTACTAAAATGTAATGCTATAAATTTAGCAGTCTCCATACTGACCACCAGGTGGCAATATATGCTCTTTGTTCATAGCTTCATTATTTTCTCTCCTTAACATAGTTGTTAATGGAACATTTTCTGTTTATAGAAGGGTTATGGCGCTCCTTTACACATTACATGGAGCATGATTTACTTTTAAAGGTATAAATGCATGTAGGAATGCATTACAGGGGGCTGTAAGATCTTCCTGTCAAAAGTGACAACTTTAGTTGTTGATTTATGCATTTTGCCCCATCCTTTCAGTATATTTGTGGATCGTTATAAGAAAATACCAGACAGGGCTCTCTTAATAAACATACAGGAAGAAAAATAAAATCCTGCATTGAAAATTCTAACACCCATGACACAGAAGCAGTGTTGAGCTATTGTTGCTGCTGGATGTAATCAAACAATAAGGTCAGATAACATATATGCAGAATGGTGTGATTCATAGAATTGGAAAGAGGTGATTGTAGCCGTATTAGTGCATTTGCGACAGAAACAATTGAGTATTGCCTGTGATACTATTTTTATTTGCACTAACATACAATTTTGAGGACAAGCTTTTGAGGAGTGTCCCTTTCTAGAATTGGAAAGTAATTTATCTGCTATAGTTGTTTCCTAAAAAAAAAACAATTAGTTATGAAAGTCTCAATTATAATCATGCGTCATGGGTCTGTTGAACTGGCATTCTTGCCTCTTAGTATAATAATCTATTCCCTATCCCTGCTACACTTGTATATGGAAATGTAATGTTCTCCAGTGCTGTCACAACACATAGAAAAAGGAAAAAGATGAGCTTTTTCAGTGCTGTACAATCAATAAATTAATGAGATTTTTCCTGATTTACATGGCATACAGGACTGCAGAGTAGAGTAGCTTCACTGCATCAGCCATTTACTTATACATATTTTAGGTTTCTGGTCTTTGCTTTGCTATCATACCCTGTGGAAAAGTAATTCTATGGAATTGTATTGTAAGCAGGGTTACCAAGTTTTATTTTTTTTTATTTAAAGGTTTTTACAAGTTTGTCCTGAGAAATAGACAGAACAAGAAAGGACATGAAAGGACATGACAAAGACAACTGTTGCAGAGGGGAATAAAATGCTTCCAAGAATCACACAGAAAGCAATGTAGTCTTTACTGAGAGCATAGAATAAAATTAGGTTGTTTTATATAATAGAAATAACCAGGCACCATGTCAATATACAGAGGTATGACTACAAACAGAGAACATCAGGGAATGACAAAAAGTGTGAAAAGAAACTGAATCCATAAAATTCTTTTGTTAGATGCACAGGGTAATTCAGAGGAGCTTTAAGGCTCCCTACCACTAGTCTTCAGTAGTACTAAAGACGGCATGGCTTAAAGTGTTACTAAACCCACAACAGTAAAATCAGTCTGTATATGGGGTAAAGCATGCTTGTTATACTCACACAGACCTGTCATCCACTTGCTCAGCGGGGATCTGGGCAAGCTGTGCATGCTCAGTTTGGTGTGTATGGCTAGTTTTTCTTTGGGAGAGTGCATGTGATCAGCACAGTGCTAATCAACACTGTCAGGGGTTATTCAGTCTCACAGGACAAACGGGAGAATGAAAACTCATCCTCCAAGCTTAACCAGTGCTCTGCTGGACACTGATTGAAGTCATAAGACTGCTATATACTGCTGATGTGAAAAGGTATTTAGCAGTTTATATTTGCCAAAATATTTGCATTTCCATGTTGTGTGTACTGTGGGAGACCAGATATAGTGAATGCACGGTCCTGGGTTTAGTATCACTTTAACGAAGATTTGCAAGCTGAGGCTGCTTTTCACTTTTAGATTACATGGGCTGTCTGGGTTGAGTGACGATCCTCACACAGACATATTTAGTACTAAAAACAGGTCAATGTAAGAAGATATGAATTATAGTGGAACAAACATTTAGCCAGTGAAACTATAGTTAAAAGTGTGTACGTGGGGCTCCATGGAGTTGGCAAGTACATTTCTCAAAAGCAACATGTCTATCATGCTCCAGTTTTCCAATCTCCAAGCCTATTGAAAGAGTTGTTGGAAATCCACTAAAGACCACCATCCTACATGCTGCAATGGAGCATAAGGAGATTTGTAGTCTAGTGGAACAAAAATCCAGCCAGTGAAACCATAAAAAAGAGTGTGTGAGTACGGCCCCTTGGAGTTGGCAAGTATATTTCTCAAAAGCAACAAATCTATAAAGCTCCTGCCTCCAGGCCTCTAAAAAGGGGTGTTGGAAATCCACTAAAGACCACCATACTATGTGCTGCAAAAGAGTGTAAGGAGATATGTATTCCAGTAGGACAAAAATCCAGGCAGTGAAACCATAATAAAGAGTGTGTGTATAAGGCCCCTCGGAGTTGGCAAGTATATTTTTCAAAGGCAACAAATCTATAAAATTCCAACCTCCAGGCCTCTAAAAAGGGAAGTTGAAAACCCATTTAAGGACCACCATCCTACCTGCTGTAAAAGAACACTTTTGTGATGACAGTAGTGGAATGTTTGTCCAGAGGAGCCCAGGATGCAGGTAAGTAGGGTATTAGTGAAGCGCTCAAAACAAATTTGATGATTGAAATAACCCTTTTCTAATACCATATCAAATTTTACATTCTAAAACTCCTTTTCTTACAAAAGTTTGCTCTCTTTGTATTATAGCTCTGTGATTAACTCTGCAATGTCTTTTGTAAAAAAAAAATAGTATTTTGTTTGTGTCACCGTGGTGATTTAGTAATATGTTTGACACTAGTTTTGTGCTTCTTCACATGTCTTTTTATTTTCTAACAAAGGTTGGTGACAGAATTGTTAGTATATGTGGGACCTCAACTGAAGGAATGACTCACTCACAGGCAGTCAGCCTCCTAAAAAATGCTTCAGGCACAATCGAGCTACAGGTAATAGAGTGCAGCTTTGTATAATTCCATTCATGCAAGTTATTTTAATCCATTGTCAAAATACCTGCTATCTCTTGGGTTACAATAGGGCTAAGTAAACGTTTCGTTTCAAAATATGGTTAGACTAAAAGACTTCAGGAACTTGCTTTAACCTTTTGAAGTTAAAAGTTCAAGTGTTTCGCAAAGAAAGAATTCATTTATTTCCCTTTTTCTAAGCTGGTTCAGACAATGTTTATAACTTTCAAGTACGTTAATGCTTAGTATGTTTACAATGGTGTTAATCGATTTTGATTATATATTTTTAGGTTGTAGCTGGTGGTGATGTAAGCGTTGTTACTGGTCAACAGCAAGAACACACAGGATCTGCTGTCAACTATTCGGGGCTTACTTCAAGCAGCATATTGCAAGATGATTTGGGGTATGTGCGTGTTGTAGTAATCTAATAGGAGGTCACAGGGGGGCAGCTGAAACCAGTTCCAAAGGGTTGGGTGTGTCTCGCAGCTTGACCTGTGATCCATGTCATTACATGATCCTCTATATGAGTGCTGTATATAAGGAAACTTCTGATAACCTATAACATCTAAAATGTCCTCAAGGAGATTGTGGGTGGTTTTTAGGCTTGATCCTCTTGTATTTTGTATATTAATGCCTCCCTCATGCAGTCGATTACCAGCAGACACTGGATTCTAGCGGCAATAATCTGCGGATTCTTGCGTCTGGAATGAAAAGTGTACACAGCTCAGCCTGTTAATGACAGGCTGACAGAAGCGGTCGCTGTTCAAGTGTAGCAGCTCACAAAAGCAGTTATCTCCAGTTGAGGGCAGCTTGTTGGACACAACTAACTGTAGTCAGGCTTGGACATCCATCTGATAGATAGCGATGACTGCTCTCAGCTTGCAATTAATTTGTAAAGTAAAAATGTGTATTTGCCTACACCTGTCATGCAAGAATCCGCTGATTCTTGGTACTGAAATCCAGTGTCTACGGGTAATTGCTTATATGAAAGACTCATAATGGTTATATTTTAAACTCAAAAAATAGATTACATTTTATTTTGGATTGTTATAGCTGTGATAAAATAATAATGGAATCTCTGGTCTGCCAGTAGTAAGCATGTTGAAATCTAAGAGTGCACCTAAAGATGTACTTACATATGCAATGTGTTGGCTGTCCTGGCTAAGGTCCTTCTCTAAACTTGCTGCTGCTGCAAAGAATTAGGGTGGAGAAGAATGACATGGTCTATACAGTGAAATGATTTGGTACAGTTGGACACATTTAGTTGCAAATTCTCTGCATTCAATTATTTGGGATCTTGAATGGCAGCAGTTTTAGCTGTAAAAATTCTAACTTCAGGTTTTATTTTCCTATTAGACCACCGCAATACAAGACCATTGTTCTTGAGCGTGGACCTGATGGACTGGGCTTCAGTATTGTTGGAGGTTACGGTAGTCCACATGGTGACCTTCCCATCTATGTGAAAACTGTATTTTCTAAGGTAAGGAGATGCTGTCAGTAATGACTATTCTTATCTAAGAGCCATGAGCACTTTTTGTACCAATTTTCAGCTGCTAGTGTTTAGGTTAAAATTGCTATTTAATGGCCTCCTTTGCTTGACTTTGGCGAATTCTGTTATTGAAGAATGCATTGCACCACATACTCTTACATGTGTATTTAACAATCATTTACTCCAGAAATTCAACCCATTTTTAAAATTGATGGCATAAAAAATGGGTTAAGTTCAATGAGGTGCATGTCACCTCATGGACTTTACACTTTTATTTGCAGTTTACATTTTTACTGAGTACTGGGAGTACAGCAATTGCTATAGTTCCAGTGCTCCAACGCTGGACCTTTGAGTCTTAGATGGCCACCTCTCTTGCGCAATCATGGAGCACTTTGTTTTATGTGAACCCATTCACAAAATACAAAGGAGAATTTACTGGAGCAGCCAGAATCTTAGCTGAACAAGCTGGAAATAGAAGCTGATTTTTTACTATGCAAAGCTGTTCCAGATTCTGTTTTCTGTCTACAAAGTATTCTGCGAATGGACAGTGGATGTGAAGGGCAGACAGAGCAGTTACTGTGTAAGAAAGCAGCATTACTCCTGTTAGAGTGTTGGGAGTACTCCTGGCATTCAGTAAAAAGGTATAATGTAAATACAAGTGATAAGTCCACAAGGTGGCATACACCTCATTTGACTTAACCCATTGTAAGCCAGCACTTTTTCAAAAGTGGCTGAATGCCTGAAGTTCTGCTGTGAAGGATTGTGGCAAGTGCATGGTCATCAACCGTTGAATGTCCCCAATTTATTTAACCTCTTGCTGATATCATGGTTGTATATTGAATAATTTAAAGCATAGGACATTCTAGGGCACATAATTGCCTTGTACAGATATGAGCACAGCATGTTCATATGTAATTGCTGGCTAGAAAATTGTTATAGTTGCAAAAAACGGTAATTTGAAACAGTTGTGCACCTATACTCTGTGTGTTCCTCTTGAAAAAACTTTAAATATCACGATAGTCAAATTGTTTATTTTATTAGAAATAGTGTGTCAGACAGATTTCCCTTCATATGGCTAGAGGCCTATAAACATTTGATATCTCTCAACAATTACTACAGTTTGTTGATTTTCTTGTTAGTGTAGAGCTGAAAAATGTCCTCATAGATCAGATGTGATTCATTCTAGCACAAAATGTATTTATCAAGGGGAATGTAAAATCTTTCTATTGGTTGGTTGATTTTTTAAAGTGACCCTGCCGTCACAGGGCCATTTATAAAAGAAGGTCAGACCTGTTGAAGAATCCCATCTATACTTACATTTCTGGCTGATCATGTCTTGAAATGCTACCTCTTCACTGCCCCTGAAGGAATTCCACACTTTAGAATGTGACCACCTGCTCCTCACGCTGTGGGTAGCAGTTCTGCCTGCTGGTTTGCACTTCACTAGTGGACAATGAGCCGGTTTGAGGAACCACCGATGTGCAGGAAGAACAATATTATTATTATTATTTATTACAGGTACTTATATAGCGCTGTCAATTTACGCAGCGCTTTACATATATATTGTACATTCCCATCAGTCCCTAACCCTCAAGGGACGTACAATCTAAAGTCCCTAACTTACATTCATACATACACATACTAGGGACAATTTAGACAGGATCCAATTAACCTACCAGCATGTCTTTGGAGCGTGGGAGGAAACCGGAGTACCCGGAGGAAACCCACGCAGGCACAGGGAGAACATGCAAACTCCAGGCAGGAGATGCCGTGGTTGGGATTTGAACCAGCGACCCTAGTACTGCCAGACGGAAGTGCTAACCATTTAGCCACTGTGCTGCCCAATAGAAATTTGACCCACCTAGAAAGGTCAAATGCCTGCAGTGGCCTAGGAGCAGTGAAGAGGCTATTTATTTTAAAGTAATATTAAACCCAAAACAAAAAAAAATTATTATATTGCAGCTTACCAGTCATTAGATGTGGTGAGTGCATTTGTTTTCTTTTATTTGGCTTTTCTTCCTTCCTTTTTCACCTGTTGATCTGGCCAATAACACACCTCCTGTAATGGTGAGACACCACTCTGGATGAATGAACACCAGAGGAACAGCAGGATTGTCAGTCTGAGGGGGAAGGTGGTAAATGTATTAGCAAATTTAAAAACAGTAACTAATGGAAATCAAAATCCAGCTAACACTTTATAATCAGTTACAGCAAACAGTTTTTTTTTCCTTTTTGGATAAATGTTTTACATGAATAAATAAAATCTGATCATTTTATCACCCCTGTCAATGGTTTGTCTCATCCCTAAACTGATACATTCAGCTGGAGAGTTTGAGCTTTTATAAAACAATAGACTTGCTGGCTGCATTACCAGATGAAAGTAGAAGAAAGAAAGGCGAAAAAAAAAAAAAAAAAACAATAAAAAAAAGAAATAAAAAAAACAACAAAAAAAACAAAAAAAAAAAAAAAAAACCAGAAAAAAAAAAAAAACAAATTCAAAAAAAAAAAAAAAAAAAAGAAAAACAAAATGAACATAATAATGAATGTAGCCATTGCATCTAAGAATTGGTAAGCTTTACCTCTGGGGATTCCATGCTTTGGTCATCCCACAATCTTAGTTCTGGAACTGCTTTGCCAGGATAATTTGTATAATACACCCAGACATTCCATTGCATGTCATTGCTAGTGTGACCCCTTATAGATGAACTGTAAATAAGCTGTGCTTGCCACTTTCATCTAAAGAAATGCAGCTAGGATATGATATGATCTGCAGCCCCAGCTTTATATATCCATAATTTACGCAAGCAACTTCTTTCCCATCTTGGGTCTTTGATGAGTCTGACCGTGGTGACAACAAAATAACATATTCAGAGCTTAGAGCAAGTCTAAAAATAATTTAACATACCCTAAAACTATGTTCATGCAATTGCAGACTAGAATTCATAAGTTTAACTTCCCCCAAAACCTCTAAAAGCAGATTGGTTACTCTAGGGCACATTGATGAATTAAACCTAACACTGTATAATTGATGAAACCCTGTGGCCATCTCTGCAGGATTCTTATATGCTATACTATTACGCAGTAAATAACCTGAAATTATATATTGCAGGGAGCAGCAGCAGAAGATGGTCGCTTGAATAGAGGAGACCAGATCATTGCAGTGAATGGGCAGAGTTTGGAAGGTGTTACTCATGAAGAAGCTGTTGCTATTCTAAAGAGAACAAAAGGAACGGTTACTCTTACTGTGCTTTCTTGACCCTTTGACTTCTAAATGGCACCTTTTTTAAGGTCCCGTCCTAATGAGAGTCAATGAGACCAGCTGTTTCCCCTGTGAAAGTACATAAACCAGTAGTATAGGTCAGCTGTGTGTCAGGTAGGCTCTTCTTATGTCTGAAAGAATATTTACCGAGCTGCTGTCATTTATCCACACTACTTTACATTGGAGAGGCAAAGAAAAGCATGTTTATCTACACCAGGAGTGCATTCTTCTTGGTGATTCTTTTAGACAGTATTTCCAAGTTCTTATTAATTCAGTGTTATAGATATACTATAGCTTGTACAAATCAGTGGAAAAAAAAACACAGAATGTTGCTACTGAAGCGATCAAAGATGATCAACGATCAAAAAACCATTTAGGTCATTTTATTGTTTTTGTTGTTCTTTGTTTTGTGTAACCATGTCTTTGTATGACTGCTTTGCTGCTACATAGATCAAAAACTGATGAATGTTTTCTTGTAAATTGTTTTTTTCTTATTGTTCACAAGTTCTACACTGGATATGTATTTAAGCTGACATGCTGATTCATCGCTGACCTTATTAATGATAAGATCCTGTAAGGTGCTTGCCAATATCAATATCTTCACAACCTAGAGCTGTACAGTTCTCTAAGTGCGCCCGAATCCTGGAAGTGCCTGCAATATTCCACTCCAGCTTTTAGAAATGGTGCTGCTCATTGCATCCCACCGTGAAATGTGGAGTACTAGTTTAAGGAAATCTGTCATTAGAGAAACATGGAGGCAGCTGCTGGTGACCTCCTTCTGAAATTAGTGTTTTGAGTCATGGAACCCAGAAGTAATATACAGATCAAAAAAGTCCTTATTTTCATACCTGTTTGTCAGTAACTGAGAAAGTTTAAGCAAGAGGTTAATATAATAGCCAGGCAATTCAAACTTTTGAAAGGATAGGTTAGCAAGGACAGCATCCTTTTTTTCTTATGGGAATGTTTCCTTTAAGAAGGACATGTTAAATGAAATCTCTGTTGAGAGATATATGGAGGCTGCCACTGCTGACCTTTCCTTTTTAAATACGCTAGTTGCTAGTCATGCTGACTTTTTTTTTTTTTAAACTTTGAATCACTCACCCAATACGTCTGAATTTCTTGATCTGCATACTTTTCTGCACCAATAAATAAAGTAATAAAGACAGTGGTTCAGGAAAACTTACAGTCAGTATTTCCCGATGGAAACAAGCAAAGGCAGGCACCATATTTCTGTGATGACAGGTTTACTTTATTAGGCTATTTAAGCCTTCATTGCATTGTAGGATGTGCTAAGGACAATCCCCACTAATTTCCAAAAGTTGAATTTTTCATACTGCGGACTCCAGTGTCCAGGCCTTTGAGGCACTCTTGCAACAATACATCTTGAATCTATTTGTATTGCATGGTTGCTTAGTCTTCGTGTTTTCGTCAGCGGTTGGGGGTCTGTGAGATAATGGACAAAGTATAAAAATATTTTTTTTTTCTCAATGAGGCAGTGTTAGGCAGAATACATTGTTTTGGAAAGGGGATAAAAAAAATGCATATCCATGTCAAAAACAAATATTTTTTTTTACTGGCTTTTATACGAGTGTATTACATTTTATGATATGAGAGAGAGCTCAATACAACCTGCATGCAGTAGGAACTTGTCTGACATTTGGCCCTTGTGTACAGCAGTCCATCAAACAGGCATGCTGGAAAACCAGCATCTGACC